GCAGAAGAATCGAAGTACCCAGTTTTTAGCCTGTGAGTCGACTCATGACTGTTATGAGTCAACTCATCAGGTTGAGTCGACTCATGACTGACATGAGTCGACTCATCGCTGGTTATTGAGATTTCTCCAGTTTCTGTCGAGTCGACTCATCTCAGTCATGAGTCGACTCATCGATGGTTTCCTGGTTCGTTTGGGATTCTGTTCACGCGTTTTCCTGTTGGTTTTGGGTCTAGTTATTTACCAAACTGTCATCCATGTTTGTACACCTATATAAGGGATTGTTTTAGGGTTTCCAAACATCTTCTTTTAGGTCAGAGAGTTTAATCAAGAGAGATTAGATTCTAGATTGAGATTTGGAGAGCTTGTTCTTCAATTCTAGAGTGAGATTGTGAGAGAGAGATTGTAATCTTTTGTTCGTCATAATCTAGAGAAGGTATTTTCCTTCGCCAAACTGAATTGTTCTTGTGTTTTGGTCGTCCTCTTCTCAACCCACCTTTTGGTAATTCCGCGACCAAAGGATGCTCGCACGGCAACTCGTATCATCGAACCTCTTGAAGTAACAGCAATAATCTGAATTGTATCTACCATAGCCATTATTCTGCATGAAGTTATCTTACTTCTTATACCACTGTCTTGGGGCATGTTTCAATCCGTATAAGCTCTTCTATAGACTACATACCATCTCTTTCTTTTCTTCCTCAATGAAGCCAACAGGTTGCTTCATGTAGATTTCTTCATCCAAATCACCATGAAGAAAGACAGTTTTCACATCTAACTGCTTAAGGTAGAGATTTTCAGCAGCTACCAAGCTTAGCACCATCCTGATAGTTATGAGCTCACAACGGGGGGAAACATCTCTGTATAATCCACTTCTTCCCGCTGTTAGAACCCCTTCACGATTAATCTGGCCTTGAATCTCTTCCTTCCATCACTCTCCTGCTTGACCCGGTAGATCCACTTGTTATGTAAAGCTTTCTTCTGTGCAGATAGCGGGGCTAACTCCCATGTCTCGTTAGAGTGGAGAGAATCTATCTCTTCTTGCATTGCATGCTCTCACTGCTGAAATTTGTTCACTTGCATAGCCTCTTCATAGCATTCTGGTTCTCCGCTATCTGTTAAAAGTAGGTAGTCTAGTGACGAGAGATACTTGGGATTCGGTTTGGGTACCCTGGATGACCTTCTAAGCTCCTCGCCCTGGGTAGTCGGTTCTGCACCTGGAGTCTCCTCCGTTCTTTGGTTAGAATTGACACTATCTCCCCCCATCTGAAAGTTCCTCCAAATCCATGTACTCGGATGCTCCCGCATCCGTAGTATTGTTCTCACTGCTTTGGCCCGCCTTGGCATTGTCCCTGTCCTTGTACATCACTTTCTCATTGAATATGACGTCTCGGCTTCTGATGATCTTCCTATTCTTCTCATCCCAAAGATGATACCCGAACTCATCAATATCGTACCCAATGAATGTACATTTTAGTGACTTAGCTTCCAGCTTGTCTCTGCTATGATCACTGATATGGACGTACGCCACGCAACCAAAGACTCTCAAGTGTGAGAGATTAACCTTCTTGTCACTCCAAACCTCTTCTGGAATCCCAAAGTTCAATGGAACTGATGGTCCGTGATTTATCAGGTACGCTGTTGTATGCACCGTATCCGCCCAAAAAGTTTTTGGCAGACCTGCATGTAGATGCATGCTCCTAGCACGCTCTGTCAGCGTTCTGTTCATTCTTTCTGTTGCGACGTCCATATAGTAGTCCTCTCCAGACGAATCCCGTTCAGAGCACGAAACTTCTTGAACTCCTCCAGTTCATATTCTCCACAATTGTCTGATCTCTGACACTTTACTTTCGGATCTATCTCATTCTCCGTCATGGCTTTCCACTTCTTGAAGATATTAAACACCTCTGACTTGTGCTTCATGAAGTATACCCACACCTTTCTTGAGTGATCGTCGATAAAGGTGACTTAGTATGCCGAACCATCAAGAGAAGACACAGTAGCTGGACCCCATATATCTGTATGAATAAGCTCTAACTTGTGAGCTTTAGGTGGTCTTCCATACTTCAGAAAACTGACTCTCTTCTAGTTCCCGAAGATGCAATCTTCACAAACACTGACTTCCACCGAATTGATAGCGGTTAGCTTTCCTTCTGAGTGCAGAATCTTCATACCCTTCTCACTCATGTATCCTAGTCTATTGTACCATAGATCTGCACTCTCCTTGCCTGCAACAATCGCGAGTGTGTCACTCACGTGTGAAGTTAGGTAGAGGGTACCGATCTTGTTACCACGGGCAACCACCATTGTACCGTTAGAGATTTTCCATGAATCTTCTGTGAATATTGTAACATAGCCTTCTGCTCCAAGCTGGCCAACCGAAATAATATTCCTCTTCAACTTTGATACGTGTCTGACATTCTCCAGAGACCACTTAGAGCCCTTCAACTGTATTTGCACATCACCTCTTCCAATGATACTACAAGGTTCATTATCCCCTAAGTATACCTTCCCAAAGTCCCCTGCTACATAGTTCTAAAAGAGTTTCCTATTAGCAGTGGTGTGAAAAAAGGCTCCCGAATCAATGACCCATGAATCGGAATCATTATCCATAGCGAGAATCAATGCATCTTGTACAATATGAGCCTCATGCTCATTTTTGTCCTTCTTTGGTGCTTTTTAGGTAGAAGACATGTGGCCCTCTTGGCCGTAGTTCTAACATTTCCCTTTGATAGGTCTCACTTTTGAGTTTGACCTCTTCTTCTTCGACTTCGATCGATTCATGTTTTGGTTCCCCCTATTATAGATTATGCCTCTCTGCTCGAGACTTAGGGCTGAACCTGAACCTTCTGATTCATTCAATTTTCTTTTAACCTCCTAGGATAGAATCATAACTACCACCTCGTGCAGCTTTAACTTTTATTTCCCCGTCGAGTTGCTGATTGCGGTCACACAACCTGCCCAACTATCCGGTAACTGTAAAAGTATCAATAGGGCCTGCACTTCATCATCAAACGTGATGTCGACTGAGATGAGTTGATCAATAATTGTGTTGAACTCACTGAGATGCATCGTGAAGGAACATCCTTCTGCCATCTTGAGGTTGAATAGCGTTTTGAAGAGATGCACCTTATTTGCAGCTGACAGTTGCTCGTACATTGTTGTGAGTGCTTCCATAAGCTCCACGGTCATCTTCTCCTTTAATATATTATGTGCTACAGATTTTACGAGGACTAATCGGACCTGCCCTAGGGCTTTACGATCCAATATTTCCCAGTCCTCGTCTGTCAAATATGATTCCTCTATGGAATTTTCCCTACCAGATCTTGTGTTAAGCAGTGGAAAAATGAAATCACAACAAATTAAAAATTGTAGGAAAAAGAATATTGAGTTTTAACGAGGTTCGGCAACTTGTCTACGTCCTCGGGAGCCACACAAATAATTTCTTTTATATCAACGAAGATTACAAAGCTTGTTTAAGAGCAGATCTCAACTTGAGATCTCTCAAGAGAAGAACCAACAAAAAACTCTCTGTTGTTCAAATAAGGCACGAGATTTTCCAACTTGAAAAATCTCCTCTCTCTCCTCAATAAAACGTTATAGGAATCTCTCCCTAAATGAGCGTGATTTTCTTCTGAAAATCTAGAGCTAAAAATTAATGGTCGCTGCCTCAATTAATTTCTGAGGATAAGAACGGAGCAGCAGGCAGTAGCTCTCTCTCGTGCATAGGATTTTATAAGAAAATCCTAGGACAGCTAGATCCAGCTGTTGTCCAACATCGCAGGCGAAGGGAGGATCACGAGCTCACTAGATCTCGCGCTCAAGCTCGCCTGGGAAAGCAACCGCTCGAACTCGCCCTCATCACGTGTTCGACTCCGCCTGTAGGAGACCTCGCCTGCAGGGCTTTTCTCGAGCTCACCTGCAATCGACCCAACCTCGCCTATAGCCCTTCGCGAGCTTGCCTGCTCGCTGTCGATCTCGCTTGCACGTGAGATCTCGAGCTCGCCATTAGCCCCGCCTGCGCCTGCCACAAGCTCGCCTGTACTTCGAGCTTGACCTCGCCAGAGTCGGAGCTCACCTGCGACTTCGTCGACGTCGCCTGCTTCATGATCTCGCCTGATGGAGGTATGGATCTACACCTAAATCCAACATCTTTCAGAGAAAGATGCACTACTACATATTTGCTCTAACGCAACGGTTCAAAACCGTTGCGCTAGCCATGGAACCGTCGCCCTTGAGCAAGTGTGACGGTTCTCAAACCGCCTCATATGCTGTCGTTGCCCTACCTCTACCGTAACGGTTTTGAACTCTATTGCGACGGTTTTTTGAACCGTTGCCCCCGCATCTAACGCAACGGTTTTAGAAGGCAAGCGGTTTTTAAGCCATTGCAACGGTTTTGATTGAGCTATTGCGATGGTTTTTAAGCTATTGCAGCGGTTTTGATTGAGCTATTGCGACGGTTTTCAAGCTACTGCAGCGATTTTGCAGCGGTTTTGATTGAGCTATTGCGACGGTTTTCAAGCTACTGCAGCGATTTTTTTAGATATTACAACAGTTTTAAAAGACCTAACGCAACGGTTTTAGTAGGCTAAAGCTATGGTTTTGATAGAGCTACGGCAACAGTTGGAGCTATTGCAACAATTTTAAAAGACCTAACGCAACGGTTTTAGTAGGCTATAAGTATGGTTTTGATAAAGCTACGGCGACAGTAAAGACCTAACGCAACGGTTTTAGTAGGCTATAAGTATGGTTTTGATAAAGCTACGGCGACAGTTGGAGATATTGCAATAGTTTTAAAAGACCTAACGCAACAGTTTGGATTAAGCTATCGCAACAGTTTGAATCGAGCTATCGCAGCGGTTTTGATCGAGCTATCGCAATGGTTTTGATCGAGCTATTGCAACTGCTCAATCGAAGCTGTTCTTGGTTTCCTACGTCAAAATAATTATAGTATTCAATTACCTGGACAATCTTTTTAAGAACATGGCCAAGATAAATTTTAATACACAATATAAAAGTGATTATGTTGAGCATAATCAACCATAATGATAAGTGCCAACATACATCAGTATAGTATAAAAACTACAAAGTATTAAATCCACACTACCAACATTTCAACTCAGAAAATATCGTACCGAACTAACATTCAAAGAATGTACATCAACATTTGATTACAAAACATGAAACTTCTCGGTCGAAGACTATATTCTCTATTTGTTTCCAAAAACTTGTTCCTCAATGTCAAATACTCACTAGGAGCATGTCAGTATCAATCTCAATCTTGGCTTTCATCATTTCTGTACCTGTGTAAATTTTCATGAATCAGCATACTGTCAGTATCAATCTCAATCTTGGCTTTCATCATTTCTGTACCTGTGTAAATTTTCATGAATCAGCATAATTTTTGCAATGATGATAATAAAATTGGGCATCATTTCTGTACCTGTGTAAATTTTCATGAATCAGCATAATTTTTGCAATGATGATAATAAAATTGGGAAAAAAAGATGTTTGAAAAGGAAGTTAAGAGAACAATGTACATCATGCTTGTTTGTTGCCACTACCAAATCCAACCATTTTAACAAAAAAGGCTAAAGTTATCAAGAGCATCTAATCACAGCCATATTCGTCACCGTTATCCATAATCCCAACAGGGAATGAGCGAAGGGGGTCTTTTTTAAGTCACTTAAATATTTTCGGACAAAGCGGCGATAAACCAGTTTAGTTACTAAATCGGTTTAGTTATATGAACAGAGGAAATAAAATCACTAAAACATATGAGTTATGCCGTCCTCAGTGACTACCATGGACTCTTTGAGGTATTATCACAAAACTATCACATACTTTTCTGAAAGCACATGGGCAGCGTTCTACTTATTTGAAAGTTATGATATATTTCTCTAATTGAAGTAGTTTGCATATGATACAAAAATTGATAAATATATCTGGGAGCAGAAACAATATCGAATCAATGGCATAGCAAGGAACCATCAAGATAACACCAACCAGAAACTTCTGCTCCTGTAATTTCATAGACAAAAAAAACAAAATTAAAAAAAAATCCAAATCAAGCTCAAAAATAACAACGAAGATAGCAAGGCGCACCCAATTGCTTAAACTGCTGGCACCTTAGAGCAATGTGCCTACAACTCGTCCAACGTATGTTTTCTGGACAGATACCAGATTGTGTTCTGGTAATAAAAAATGTCCTTCAACATAAAGTATTACCAGTGGCTACAGTACTTTTTCCACCTCTAAATGCCCTTTAAATATTGCTCTAATTATTTTCCTAAGAACTAGTGAGGAGCATGTGCGTTGTAGGTGACTGCTACATATGGAGTTGTTGCGTATCGAGATTTCTATTAGACCCGTCAATTGTCGTAAGTTGTTTCAAATTTGTCATTTGAATTGCAATTCTACTCTTTATTTAAACAACTAATTTCAAAATAACTTAAGTATCAAAGGCCATATTAGCAACTTCAATTATTTGAGGGACCAATTTCAAATAGCTTAAAAAAGGGACCAAATAGCAATTAAATAATTTGAAGGACTAATTTCAAATAGTTTGTATATGATACAAAAATTGATAAATATATCTAGGAGCAGAAACAATACTGATTCAATGGCATAGCAAGGGACCATCAAGATAACACCAACCAGAAACTTCTGCAAAAGATATTGGGGAATAATAAAATTGGGGAAAAAAGATATTGCAATCATTCAAAATAAATAGCTTAACATAAAGGAAATAATCCACCTGCATCAAAACCTTCCATTTGAATTGCAGGAGGTTTGCTCATGACCTACAAAATAATAATTCATTAAATTGCTTCAGATCTTATATATGAAGAATTATCTATTTGTCCACTTAGCAGATGTAAAGTTTATCATGATTTTGTTGCCAACAAATTAAAGCAACATATTAAATTATCAGGTTCTTTAGAGACATATTTTAGCATAATTAACAACTTAGAATGCCGTATACTTCATTTGAAAATTTTATATCAGAATCATGAGAATACACAGCTGAAATGAAAACTTTTGACACATGAAACTTATAGGTTAATATAGGTTAATATATTCAACTTGAACAAAGAATATATTAAGTGTCCTTATTAAACATAGATGCATTTGCTTATCAAAAAAAGTTTAATTGTAGAACTTTGAGACCAACAATGCAAAATCCTACTTCAGCACATAAGTACTACATGGAAGCAAATCAAATCAAATAAAAACCATTAAAAAGATCGAGTGAAACTAAAGAATGAAAGCAACATCAGAAGCCCATCCTAGTCAAATATTTTCCTCTTGTTTTAGAAGCTCAAGGTCGATAGACTCTTAACACAAAAGCATTACAACTTCAGTTACTTGTGTAGCAATTCTTCATACAACCTGCAACTGCAAAACGAAAGAAAACAAGCACCAATAGTGATTATTTACACTTATCGCCCACAAATGTCGCGATGAGTAAAAAGGAAACAAAGGTTTAGAAGGGCTAGAATCTGTTTGACAGCTGAAACTCGAGATAACCTAAAATAAAATATGCTAGAAAAAAGATTTCAGGTGAAGACGGTGATGGCCGTTCTGATATCAGAAAGAAAATAAATTAAGAGAAGATGGAATAAAAGGAAAAGGTGAGGTAAATAAATAATTAAAATAGTAATCTCCAACTGAACACCAAGTTCTAATAGAGTTCAACTATCCTAACTGAGAGAAGTAGACAAGTCAAATTAAACCGTCATAACCTGAACCCAGTGATATCAAAATAAGTCAGAAACAAGAAAATAAAGCGATAGGTATTATCCAGTACTATTCACATGGATAGCAATGCCTTATGCCCTCAAATTCTTTAGAGACATATTTTAGCATAATTAACAACTTAGAATGCCGTATACTTCATTTGAAAATTTTATATCAGAATCATGAGAATACACAGCTGAAATGAAAACTTTTGACACATGAAACTTATAGGTTAATATAGGTTAATATATTCAACTTGAACAAAGAATATATTAAGTGTCCTTATTAAACATAGATGCATTTGCTTATCAAAAAAAGTTTAATTGTAGAACTTTGAGACCAACAATGCAAAATCCTAGTATTGTCTCTCAAATATAGTACCAAACAAAGTTTCCATCAGTTCAGTGGTTGTAGGTCTGAACAGAAAAATACACGGGGGTGTGAGATCAAGTTTCAGTTTAAGGTTATATATCATGACTTTGTCAGAATTGATGATCTTAGAGCTACAGTCCACAGGCTGGAGTTTAATATATCTATTCGTACTCAGTGCAAATATAGGTGGGAATGTTTAGCTTGGATTACTCTTGAGCTTACAAAGGACGAGGTAATCAAACACATTATTTGCACTCACTGCAAAATAAATCCAGGTCTGCAAGTGATAAGGCACAGGTTGAACCCTGAACACTAAGAAGATTCAATTAGCAGCTACGCATATAAATTATGAAGTATGAACTCTTTTCAATACAAATAAATATGTTTCCTCACCTTTGCATCTTATTATCTTTCTTGATCCAACAAGTCCAGACGTCACATGATTATCCAATCCCTCGCAAAAAAGAATAAACTGATACAACAGTTCAAACATTCTACTGATACAACAATAAACCGACAAATGGGCATCGTTTGATGTACAAGACAGTAATTTTGTAGTTGTGCCCCTATGGTGGAGGCACAACTACAAAATTGATAACCTTAGGGACCTTAGGGACAAAAGGATATAAACACATCCACTCTCCCTCACAAGGCTGATGATGTACATAAGAGGTGGCGCTATCAAAAGAGACCAAAACAAACAGCAAACAATATCAACTTTTTTTAAGTGTCCTGCATTTTGTTTAATTGCTGCTGTCCCTTACTCTCATTTTGTTTAATTGTTGATGTCCCTCCTCAAACAAGGCAACAGGATAAAGGCGAGAAGGCGGTTTCTTTTCTGAAAATCATACCAGATGAACACCCTAAGTCCTCAATTAGCATACAACTGTAAATGACATGGTATAACTTTGGACTAAGATGCTCTACTAAAATGCTATTTATCCATGGGCCATTCATAATCGAATGGATATTAAAAACATCAGGTACACAATATGAGACGTCACGTTAAAATCATATCGATTAACAAAAAAGTATGTTGTTTCAAGTTGCACATGTGACAAATATTACATGGATGCTTCCCAAACAATGAATTTAGGATTGAGAATTCTAGATTTGAAATTACCTCAAATGATCTCTTCTCTTTTGAACTTGATCTAGAATCACCCACTGTTTCCATCGCTCAAAGAGAAGTGATTAACTAGTAATAAATGAAAAGAATCATATAAGTACTAGATACACGAAAAATAGATAATAAAAACTAAAGTGTCAGGTGTTCAGGATTGAGCTTATATGATACCAAGCTAGATGAAAGTTTAATAAGACACCCTTGCTCTGATCAAAATCAAGATAAGGACACAGCTAATAATTGGTCAGCTAGTCTTTCTTAAATCCATTTTCACCAAAATCCCAAGGCGGCGGAATTTTTGATACTACCAACAGTTGACGCACTTTTTTGTAAGTTCAAGGGTTCTTTTTCTGATTAAGAAAGTACAGGGTCACCCCAAAAATTTAAAACCACCACCAACAAAAAGAAGTTCAAGCGGGATTCGTGAAATTTACCCATTTATGAAGGATCATAAGCTATAGCCTGGAATAATAATAAAAATGAGGCGAAGTAACTTGTTAATTCTTTCTTTTTTTTCTTTTCATTTTTTTAATAATATAGCAAGGAATTGAACCCAAGACAGTGTGACATATTGGAACCTCTCAACCGTCTAGGTCACCCACATTGGAAGTAACTTCTATGATAGTGAAACAACAAAAGGTATAATCAAATTCTAAACTTTAGCACCATTTCACTTCCAGATACCAAAACTTGCACTTCAACTACCAAAATAACATCAACCCAACCAAATTGAGAAATTCAAAGAACATTGACCTGGTGAATGTGAAGGCAAGCCTTCTGTCCCGCGGGAGTGGAGCCATAAATCCTTATAACAGGTGACCTCCTCCACACTGCTACCTGCAAAAGCCTCCAAAATCATACATAAACCCTAAAACACACGGCTTTGGAAACCCTAGATTGAGGAATCGAGAGGAGAACCTTGGAAGCTGCTGTAGGAGAAGTCGAGATCGGGGATCGGCGGCGACATGTAGTAATCGAGAGTGACGAATTCAGTGATGAGATCGCCGATTTTAGGCCATGGCGGAATTTTTGAGAGAGAGAGACGAATTCAGCGACGGAATTTTTTGGCCATGGCGGCGGCGATTTTAGGGATTTGAGAGAGAGATTTTCTTTAAGCGGTGCGGTTTAAGCGGTGCGGTCAAACCATGGGTTTTACTAAAGCTCAAAGGCCACTAACAATTATTAAGCCCAGGAACAATTATTAGACCTATGGCAATATTTTATATTAAATGTTGTATTACATTCTGAAAACCGTTACGATAGATATCTAACGCAACAGTTAAAACCGTTGCGCCTTAACCGTTGCAATAGATCAATTATGTGGTAGTGATGCTAGTTAATATATACAGTCTTAGCACGATAGATGTTCCAAGCATAAATACTACATATATAATTGATTGTGTATGTTACCCTGTATCCATGCATGTCAAAGATTTTTATTCCATATGATTTACTTTTTCAAGGATTTACCTTTCAGAGAGCAGTCGCTAGAATATTTTCAGAGAAAGATATTAACAGAATACGCTCGTATGTCAAAGCCATCAAGCTTCCATGACAACTTAACAAGGTAAAAGAAAATTCAATAACCATCTGATTTCAGACTTCCAGCCACTTGATGACATACTTCTTCTAATGCTTCTTTATTATGCTGGTATATGAGCAGGCGTGGCAAATCATTCACACATGCATAGAAGATCGCAAAGCAAAATGATATGTGTCCGAGCACACATTCTTAGTTGTCAAATATTAAAACAGTTCTTTAGTGATATAAAGTCTAAGTTTCTGTCCTTTTAAGTGTTACAAAAAGCTAAGTTTATACGGAGGCCCTAACCTGCACATCCCCACGCGCACACGACCAACCAACGAGAAAAGAGCTACATACAGTGGAGACCTGTTGGCTTTGACATACCATCAGCAGTTTAATGAACCTATTAAAAATTACCTGAACGCAAATATCCACCAACAAGCAATAAAGAGCATGAAACATCCAGAAACATTGCCTGACAAACAAGTCTTAATTATCTTATACTAAAAAATGAGATATAAAGAACACAAATAGCCGAACAGAGTGGGATGTAAATAACTGCAATTATCAAGCTGGCTGCATATATTTGTGCTCGACGCATCACTTTGGATATTTGTATCTAGTTATCTAGTTATCTAGTTATGTCACTCAATTAGGTCTAGAGAAGCTTGGATGCTAATAACCTCCATAACCATATCTACATCTTTGAACTCTGAGTAATCAAGTACACACTTGAGACTGACAAAGCCTTGCTCAGCTCATCCTTCAACAAGGATCCTTTCTGCACTAAAGCCTTCAAGATTTGCTTGCGTACGGATTCACGAACAACATAGTCAGAAGCATGCAATTTACTTGGCCAAAATACAAACAAGTGATTGCGTTCAAAAAAATATAGCTAATGCTGACTATTAGTAAATATCTTTAATTATAAGAAATTCATGACTACATTGTATACGTTAAGAAGTTCCTGATTGGAACAGGAAAGGACATAGAAAATGCCTGCACGGACTGAGAATTTAGCCGTTCAAACAACCACCTGCTACTGATTTCGATCCCTTCTGCGGAAATGTGGTAGCAATTTCCTTGAGAATGACGCGTGTGCCACTTGGGATAAGGGCAGTACAGTAGCTGTGCCGGAACCCATCAGCCCACCACGGTATACTGCAGTAACCATATGAGCCAGATAACAGAGACATTCAATAATTTTAATTGGGCATTACTGATATAGTGCCTCTATCTTGAATTTCAAACGCATTAAGTGGACATGAAATAAACCAGTCTTAATTAACTGTTGCTTGAATCGCAAGCAAGACACAGGAAATGCAAAACCTAACCAAATTGATGCTTATAAAAGAAACAAACTAGAATCGTTCTCTCTTTTTTTCATTTATTAAATTTAGGCACTCTAAGTAATATAATCAACATGAATAGAGTGAGAGACACTTAATTATACCTCAGTGAGTTCTTAATGCTAGTATTAGGTTGCCCCCTTTTTTTAGTAAATGCTGTACCAGCGAAACTTCATGTGTTGTTTTCTCAGCTATACGCGTCGAACTTGTTTAGAACGACGGCAATTGGTAAGCACTGCTTGCATGTGTGTGCTTTGTTGACTAACAATGCGTAGTAGTTGAGAACGATGATTCTGATCTATTTTCATGCAATAACATTACACCTAATAATGCTGTTGAAAAGGAACTTCAAAACTAAAAGGAAAAGCGGGCTCATCTAAAGAAATCTCCTATGTGGATCACTTGGAAAATCAGGGAGAAGCCAAGGATTTCCACGTTGGAATAAGTCGTAGGACTTGGGTCCTGAGAAATCCAAATCGTTCCTGAATATATATGGTGTTCTCTAACACCTAAATATTCTCATCTTTAAAAATCATTCCATTTTGGTATCAATAAGAAAACCAGCAGGTCACTAGGACGAAAGATAATATGATGGTGGTACTCATGTCTAATTCTAGCTAAATAACATAGCTAAGATCTAATCTTTTAACTTCTCTTGCATCATAACATTCCCTTATATAGAAACCTCTGACATCCTTGGCTTGTTTACTAGATACTGTAAAAGCATGCGAAATCATATATAAATATATAAATCACTTGTTTAGAGATTACTTGTCCCGAATCTATGGAATGATAGCCACGCACTCTTCTTGATGTTTGAACAATAGCCGAGGGCGACCACACCTTTGATACGGTGAGAAGCACACAACATATTATCCCACGACTACTGCGTAAATCACAGAATTGAGAAAGGAAGAAGATGATTGTTGTTGATTTTCTCTTGTGTATATCTATTTTATTAGATATGTATTTATAGGGAATAAATACACTAAACCTTAATCTTTGTCCAACTAAGATTACCGAACAAGCCCCACAAGGAACCAACTCTAATAGAGTTGGGTCTGCCCACTTATTTGGGCAGCCCATATACAAAACTAATATACTCCTACTTACACAAATGAGTGGGTGTCATCTATAGCTCGCTGAGCCAACTCCTTAAGTCATTGACTCCCAGAGTCAATATCTCTCTGAGAATCTCATTTCCTTTCAAATCCATGACCATACAACATTAGTGCGGCATGGATCATTGAGAACCTGCAAGCGGATAGCCTTGCAGCCAGATTCATTAGGACCAACATAGTAATCTCCCTCATCAATCATGTTAGCTCAAGTACCTTCTATCCCTCGAAAAAGCATATATGAACACTCAGGTCTACCATTGATTCATCGTATTCTTACATACTGCCCTTGGTATAAGTTGTTGGCCTCTTTGTTTTGATGATGTTTAACAAATAATTTATCACTAATGTTGTTTATCTAGTATTTGTATTTTTTTTATTTATTGTAGACAAATAACAAGTTAGAGGATGGATGTAATCAAGCTTTCACGATCATATCCAATGGAGGTTGGCGGAATAGTGGAGTGAAGCAATACAATTTAAGTTAAAGATCCAAGTTCAAGCTTCATCCGTAAGTTTACCAAGAAGAGCTTATTGAATATCAAGATCATAGCTTGGGTATATTTAGTTTAGGTTTATATTATGTGTGTTAGTACTTTAAGCTCAGTTATATACACACATACACGTTTTGGTTTTGTATATATATAGTTATATATATACATATATGTTTTGGTTTGTATATATATAGTTATATATATACATATATGTTTTGGTTTAATTTCATAGATATGAAACAAATATATATTTATATACATACTCATATGTTTCATATTCTTTGGTTTAATTTCATAGATATGAAACAAATATATATTTATATACATACTCATATGTTTCATATTCTATTATACTTGTGAAAATATTATATTCTTAGTTTTTGGACTTAACAATAATCATATATATCTTTTATTAAGTCTATAAAATTATTTTGTAATGTTTCAAAATATAGTTAAGATAAAATGTCAAAACTCATGTGTTTACATTTTCATGTTTTGGACTATTTTGTAAAATAATAATATTTTTTATTTGGGAGGTCCTTTTTTAAAACCAGTTTTTGTAGCATGTTTATTATCATGTTTACAATCATTTTCCAAAGTTTTATATTTTTCTAATTTTATTTGCTATTCTTAAAAGAGGTTTGAAAATCAGATTTCTGTTTAAAAGAGACAGTGTGCATGTCTTGAGTCGACTCATGAACAGTGTTGAGTCGACTCATAAACTATTGTATAGTTTAAATTTTTTTTCTGACGAGTCAACTCATAACATCATGAGTCGACCCTTCAGGCTGAGTCGACTCATGTTTGTCATAAGTCGACTCATAAACTGTGCTGGAAAGTATGTTTTATTTCTGCTGAGTCGACCCATGACTTCATGAGTCGACCCATACATGTTGAGTCGACTCATAAATTTTATGAGTCGACCCATAAGTTGGTTTTTAGCCTGTAACGGCTACTTATGAGTCGACTCATGAATAGTACCTAGTCGACTCATAACACTGTAATGGCTATATTTCCAGACTGCACTGTTTTTGGATTTTTGGTCTTTTTGCCTTGTTTTCTCTTAGCTTTAGGGTTCCTATAAATACCCCCACATATCCTTAGTTCTAATTACACAAGAGAAGTTTTAAAAATAAGTTTAAGAGTGTTTAAGAGTGTTTAAGTGTGTTTGAGTTTGGTTTAAAGTTTGTTTGGTTTGTGAAGAAGCTTTCATAAGTGGAGGAGATCATC